AATCAGCGCGAAAGTTGCTATGTGGGGCGGTTAGGTAATCATAGGGGAAATACGGAAATGTGCAAACTGAATGGCCGTGGAGGGGGAATGTAGCAAGTTCCGATCCGGTGGGCAAAGGTCGTCAAACTGGGAGTTGGTTAGGACCGCACAGGAATTGTTGGGTTCTCAACAGAGTACAGGTAGTTCCGGTGTACGTAATTTCAATCATACGATAAAATACCTTACACCAGGGAGCATACATAAACCCTGTGTCTCAATTTGGAGAATCTTTGGAGCTATTCGTCGTTCTTTTTCTAAACTCATACAATGGTCTCAAGACACCGTACATCTCTCATGTTCGACCTCGCTTGGAGTTTCCGAGCTCCGCGGTATATCCTCGCACAACAGCCAAATTTCTAAAGTTGCAGAGGGTTCAACGAGCTTCTGCTCGCCTTATCACAGGGTTAAATGGATATGGGCACACTGAAAGCTTGCAGGTCACAGGGTTGTTCCCGAAATCATACCACCGGTTTAGTGGTGATATCATATGTGTACGGCTTATCCTTCGTTGTGACGTGGACCCGGAGCTGATGGATTACTTCTCTCTGCGCGAGCAGAACCAGATATGCGGATGTAAACCCACATTGTTTAAGCTTCCGTCAACCAGGTCACCTTCCATGTACCGAATGTTGCGCAGGGTAACCAACCTATGTCACGTGGTTGCCATAGGTGTTTTAGTCCTGCGTACGCTGCTCGCGTGTGGTTATCTTCTTCAGTGTGTTACCGTCGTTGATCAAGCCACTACTCAGGTACGAGAAGCAGTCAACTTCAGCTATTTCCTGACCGTCTAGTTCCAGAACAGCTCCTTGACACTCAGTCTTACAGCATCATTTGTTCTTTGAAGTTGAAAAGCGTATGTTTAATGGAGCAAAAGAATATGCTAGTTTGCTAATTGCGTTTTGTGAGTCCTCCATATATTTGAACAGGCAAAGGATGTCGTCAGCGTACTTCAAGTCAAACAGCTTTTCTCCAGCTGCCCATTCAATATCTACATTTTGGAGACCGCTTAGTTCGTTCTGCAGTATAACGTCTATACCAAAATTGAACTAAAATGGCGAAATAAAGCATCGTTGATGAACACCGCCGCTGGTTTCGAACGATCTATTCAGCTCGCCGTAAACCCTTACCCTACCAAAAGAACGCGATTAGAGTGACCTAAATAATTTCACATATTTCGGCGCCATTCCTTTGAGATGGAGTGAATACACAAAGGCTTCGCGGTCAGCTAAGTCGAAGGCTCCTTTTTGGTAAAGGAACTCGATAACCGTTGATCGACGATGAGTATGTTGTAGCTGAAGGACTTGACAACCACGATACAACCACTACCTGGTCGAAATCCTGCTCGTTCGCGGATATTTGTCTCCCTGAAGGGCGTTAAACGTTGAACGTTGATGGAGAATAACAGTTTGGTGGCTATGGAAATCAAATTATTCCACGGTGTTTTGCGCACTCGTAAGATCCCTTCTTAAAAGTTTTAACGAGCAGTGATTCGCTCCAGGATGAAACATTTTCTTCTTGTTCCATTATTATTCGGATGGGCGTTATTCTGGCTTCATAATAAGTCCGACGCCTCCCCCTTTGAGTTTGCTATAAGCTACATGTTGTGCACGTATTGGCTATACAAAACATTTCTGGTGAGGTTATCGCTGATATTTCGCTCCAGGTTTGCCATGAATATATCCCCCAGAATGGGACCCAAGGGACTTCCAGTGAGTGCACCGTCAACTTGGGGGTGTAGACTTGATTGATGTCAGTGTGTCGGTTGACAGAGTTTTCCGATGAATACCAAGCTTCCAGAAATTCTCTTGCGTGCCTGGTGCGGGCCTGATCGACGACTTTGGTGTTTTCGAAATGGAAGTTGTGTCCTTCTTGGTCCCCTTGAATTGAGATGAGTGAGAGTGCATCGTGTCTTTTGATGGCCAGTTTGTGTTTGTGCAGGCGAGTTGCTAGATTTCTCCCCGTTTGACCGATGTAGTGCTTGCTGCAGTCCTTTCAATTGATGCGGTAGATCACAATTGTTCAATTTTTATCTTCTTTTTGCTTAGTTTGTGGGCGACTTGAATGTTGTGCGGCTTTAGTATTCTCGTGGTCATTTCAGAGATGTTCTTCACATATGGTAGGGTTATTCGTTTGTTCGGTTGTCCACCTGTCCTTGTGTGTTGTCGTGTTCGAGTTATTGCCCGTTTGACGTCATCCCCTATCGACACAAGGCGTACAAGCATCAGCCAATCAGACGAAGTCACATCTCTACATGACTCAACAAGCTATATAAGGAAAGGGACTCTCATAAGCGCTCACCCAGTTACTCCATTGAGAATGTCACCTCGATTGGTGATGAAACGTTTGCAATACAATTTCCAAGCTCGACGAACAACCGAACACCATGTATATATATATGTATACGTCACATATTTTTGGTTTGGTCATTCATATTTTAATTTTGAAATATGTACAACTTGTTCATAATTTACAAATGAATGAAACCGTAGGAAATCAGTGTTTTATCATGCTAAACTATTCGATCAAACAGACAAATATATCCGAAAAAGTAACGATTTCTCATCATCAGATTACAAAATTCCCAAGCATGTACTTCGTCCCATGCACATCAGAGAACAGTCGAGCTGGAGACTTAGGTAACCCTATGCAGCTATTTCAATTTAATGAACTCGTCATAGCTGCTCATCTATCAATCTCACCGGTGTATAAACTCGTAATTTCACTTGTTATGCTAAAAAGATAAAGAACAGTTTCTCACAGTAAGCTTGCCGTGATTAGTCGTTCTTCGGCGTGTCAGTCTAGTTTAGTTTGCTTACTCAGTGAATAAACTGTAGATGGGCATATGCACTATTGATGTTACTCAACAAGTTGATGAGCCACTATGTGGACTACTTTATGGCTTACCAATCATGGTTGTTTTGTCCTGTATCCAACAAATTCCATTCTGTAGTGCTATTAGTTCCAAAAATTCGTTTTCTGTTTTTTTCTTTACACTCATCTTCAGAGTGAATTTTTATCAGATTAGTAAATCAATGTGTATTGCAAAAGTTCACTTAAATCGAGTGGCATGCTGTTGAACTGCACCTACAATCTATGAATCAAAAGTACACGTGTGTATTATTGCGTATAACAATGCTCTTTAACTTCATTGGTTACAATTAGACTGAATGTCTTTGTTATGAATTCGCGCTCAAGATTGAAACGAGAGAGTGCGTTTCGAAAGAAACCCTAGCAGAAATCACACATTGGTATACGTTTGTACAAATGGTTGTTCTCCAAATTTTTTATCTTCAGGTATCGCGATCAGGTCATCCATGGAGAACAATTCCACGGTCCAGTACTGCGGGCTAATTCAACAACTGACAGCGAAAGCTCGCTCTGCTCTGCGAGACCTCGACCCGACCAACGATTTGACCTTTTTACGTATTCGCAGTAAAAAGAATGAAATTATGGTTGCTCCAGGTTAGTATTGTACAAACAGCGCCTATAATTTTTCTATTTATTTTGATGACTTAGATTTACTTGTGGAAAAGCCCCACAGTTTGATTCGCTAATGTTTAGAAAAATCAGTGTCAATCATCTGGGTGATCTCCTTGGTTGATTGGTGAGCACGTTAGTTTTCTCGTCATTAGGTCTATCACCTTATTGGCATGATTTTAAAGTGTATTCTCTGTCATTTCATTGATACTGCTATTCAGATTGTCGTGTCTGGATAATGTCGACTCTATACATGCAAAACCAAAATACCCCTAATATTTATTTTGGGTTGTTGGGCGGGGGAGGGGGGTTGTTGAATAAACTTGAATCTCTGGATGCTGAGATCCTTTCATGTCTTAATTTGTGCGAGCACCACCCCTCCCCCGTCCCCGTCCCTCTTTCCTCGCCTATAGTATCACCATTCTCAATCTTGTTTTTGTTTCTAATGTCCCTTCCTGATTACATCACTTGCTGTGCATGAACTATAGTTTCTACCGTATATTACGTAACTTCATCCCGCTCTCGTCTTAGATCACAACCTTCATTTAATCTGCTCATCTCTCGAACGGTTGTCTATTTGACCTTTGTGTTCTCACCCCCATCCACGACTATCACTGTAGCCTTGTCATATTCTTTTGATCCGTTTGCTCGCCTCTGTCATCGTTNATGCGATATATCGAAAAGAAATTTCTTCGTGAATACCGTTTTATACATTGTCTATGGGACTATTTTACGATATATATACATATATATACCACCGGCTTCCGAGCAAGCTTGGTGCCAACCCAACAACAGGAATAACAGAAAATTGGGGTTGGAAGACAAAGCGGGATAAAAGGAGGTCAGGTAGTTTAGTTGAATAGAGAGAAAAACATTTTCTTTGTTTCACCGAACACATTTTGATATATATATATATATATTTACCACCGGCTTGAAAACAAGCATGGTGCCAACGCAACAACAATGACAGTGAAGGGGATAGGTGGATTAGGAGCACGGGATTTCAGCAGACAGACCGTCCAGCATTCGCGCCACTGACTTCTTTTCTGGACCATATCTCTTAGTATCTCTAACCGAGGACAATCCTCAGCCCTTGGGCTCCAACCTGGAAGGCGGGAACCAGCAACCGAAGCCAAAGCTGAAGCCACCTTCTTCATAATTCTACGCCATGTCATGATCTGATCGCCGCGGCGCTTCTTCCAGCCTTGCCCGGCATGTGCAAAGAGATCATGGAAAAGTAGTCGATGGGCAGGTATACGCAATACGTGACC